ATCTGTTTACATTATATATTATCCTGTTCTCATCCACTTCTTGCATGTAATATGGTTTAAAGATAACATTGTTTTTCAACGATAAAAACAAATTTATGTCACGTTGATTATAAACGTTTTACAACTAAATGAGATATGAGTTATTTTGTATAGATCGATAATTCATAATATTTAGTATGTGTGTGAGAGAGATTAAAACTCGTTCCTATTAATTTTATATAATGTAACAAATCATACGTAAAAATGTACCCGCAATGTGTACGCAAATGTACAACTTCTGAGTAAAGGCTTTTTTCACACAACGAATGTGTTTCTTTTGTCTTAAAGGAGTTAAAAGAATGCTTTTTCTCTAAACACATAAATTTTTTGAAAAAGAAAAAGAAACACTAGACCTTTTTAATACATTAATCACACATGAAGATAGTTGCCATTCTGTTTGTGTAGACGTATTTCTTCACCCCTAACGGCTTAGTGCAATCACTCTTCCCCAAACGATTGTAATTTTAATTGCAAATACGACGTTAGGCTTTATACTAGGTTATGTGGGTTTTTTTCCATAACAATAATTTATGTACAGTTTCCGGTTTGCATCCATTTGACTGATTACAGATGGGATCATGAACTGAAATCAGGGAGTATTGAAAAACTGTTTTGCTCTAGTTTAAGTTGCTTCAGTGGTAAGCATATTGAATTTACTAGGGTTGAATCTGTGACCTTCCTGTAATGAAATGATCCTCTTGACAAATTCAGTCACTGTTGTGAAATCCAATATGCTTTTAGTTCTAACTTCTGGTTTCCGTCAAGGATGCCCATTATCCCCATTTCCTTTCAATTTCATCATAGACGTATTAATGAACTTAACCCTAACTCACTGCAGAGACTCGGATTGACTTGCCACCAGGGAATAATCTTGTTGACTCAGAATATGCAGACGATATAGTTCTTCTAGGCGAGGAAGCTGACAAAACGCAGACACGGTCTTCTGAACACCTTGGGCTACAATCTACGAATGTTTGGCATGCGATTTGCCCTCGCCAAATGTACGATGGTGTTACAGGACTGGACTACACTGTCTCCTAGATTGGAAATAGGGAGTGAAGTGGTAGAGCACGTTGACCGCTTCATCTATTTGGGAAGTACCATCAGCCCAAACGGGCTGATCTCTGACGAAATCTCAGCACGAATACAGAGGGCTAGTTTCGCATATGCTAGTCTACGCCGTCAGTGGCGTAGACGTGATATCCGGCTATCGACCAAAGGGCGGGTGAAATGCTCAGTAGTCCGCTCCGTCCTCTTTTATGGCTGTGAGACCTGGCCATTGAGAGTGGAAGACATGAAAAGCCCGGCTAGTTGTCTTTGATCATAGGTGCCTGCGTTCTATCTCCCGTGTGAGGTTGTATAATAAGGTGAGCAATATTAAGGTTAGGTTTCGGTCGAGTGCTGGGTAAGGAGGGGAAATCAATCGACGAGGCTGTGAAATTACATCGAATGAGTTAGATGGTTAGGACATGTGTTACGCATGCCTAGCCTAGTCATCGCCTTCCTCGACCTACGGGCAATGTTAGCTGACATAGGATGGGTCAGGCTGGAAAAGAGCTAGTGGCGGTCAAACCAAAATATGGCACGTCAATGAAATCCGCAACAGTTAGTTTACGCCAGCCATGTAGAAAGGTGTATACTTCCTGACTGGTTGGGGTCCTCGGGACGGTAAAAACCAATGGTTGGAAACAATTGGCGACATGGCTCAAAATAATTCTCAATAGATGGCTCAGATGCATCTACTCCTTGTGACTTATGATTTCCAATGAAACTATATTGTTCTTGGTTATTACTATTCCTTTGTCTCTCACCTCTGTTTACTGTCTCTAATATTAATTTCTTCTACTTCCTCTCTTGCTTTGTGTGCTACATGGAGTGTGGCGACTTGAAGTCCTGCACATATGTGCAAAGTTCTATGTCGAAAACAGACAGACAGACAATACCACCACCTCCAAACAATGTTATCCGTGAGGGTTTACCCTAAAATCCCACTAGTCACAAGTTCTCATTAGATATCCAGGAACTCCATTCCTCCGTAGTCAATCAATAATGAAGTAGTTGAATAATTTTCAACTGTAGGTTACCAGGGATTTGACTAGACTAGCCGCCTAGCGGTGGCATTGCATATCGCGAATAGTGAGAAGTTACAGTTGATGAGCCATTGGATGCTGTCAATGGTCAGTCAGGATCACTTCATAACATGGAAGTCGTGGGTCACATCCCTGGTTGGGTCGTCAGTGTGCACTACTGAAGCGTCTGAAACTAGAACGAAACAGCTTTCTAGTACACTACTTGTGTATGGATTTCAGAGGTTCTCTAATTGGTATCAGTTCGTCATTTATCATGACTTCACATTATATCATTATTATTGTTCCCTTGGGTTCCTAGTGGAACATAGGGCTTCAACTGCACGTCTCCACTTATTTCTGTCTTCTGCTGTACTTTTCACCTGCATCCATGTTAGTCGACACTGGTTTCACATTACGACATCTTAATATCAAATTTTAATTAAACATTCTTCTTTATCAATCTGGTTTTCTATAAATCGATTGTTTTATTGAACGATTGTCTTTGCGTTGAAAGAGTATAACTGAAAATACAAGCAGATTAGTGTGCTAACTGTGTTCATATATTAAGCTGAAATCAACGTGTATGAGGTTGTTCAATGCCACTTTTTAATAGACATGCCGCATCCATATGCTATTCGCATACCATAGCATCACCATATGTTTTTTTAAAATTTGTTTGTGATGTACAGAAATGAGTAAAAAAACAAGACAAAATAAAATACTGTCTATTCTTTATGTCAAAAACAAATTCATGATGGATATTTCGGCAGAAAATGTGTTAAAATCTATAAATATAGTTTGCTTTATTATCCTGAAATTTCGCCGTAATCGCTTCAAAACATTTTTATTATTATTGTTAGTTAGATTCTTGAATAGGAAAACAGATTTATATGACTAAATACAAAATTTTTAAGGCATTTATCAAGAATTTAACATTTGTATATTCACAGGTTTTTCATGTTTATCATATTTATATTCAAGTGTCGGTTTCCAGGGATTTGATTGGTTATAGGAGGTCATCATGAGCTGATGTCTGTCTGTTAGAGAACCATTGGAAAACTTGGGAATACTGAACATTTGTTTTGTCCTCATTTAGATCTCCTCAACGGTACTCACCTACTGTTCTAACTGACACTGTTGTTAGTAGGCAGTTTAATTCTTGCAAGCAGTTAGCTAAATTCATCTTGTCTGATTACTGAACAACCTCTTTATTCTCTAATTTCTCGTTGCACCTCTTCCTGGTAAAACCAGAAAATATTTCATGAGAATTTATGCTTGTACAGTAAAATATAAAAATTAAACCAATTCATATTTAACACCAGTTTTATGTGAAGAGACAGATGTCAAAAATGAACTTATAAACTTATTTTTGACCAGTATATAAAAACATGAAGTTATAACCAGAATTATTATTACACATATTATTCTTCTACTAACTGACATTTCTGGGGTTTTATTACTTTTACTATTTCAATAATAATAATAATAGTAATAGTAATTAATAATAATAATAATAATAATAGTGATGGGTTTATTCTTAAATAAATGCGTTTAATACACAGTACAGAATTTTCAGCGAGTTTCATTGCAAGGTATTGATTTACTCCTTGTACAGAATCACTAAATGTAGTATTCGATAATGTATCATCTGTTCCCACCGAAGCATACTCCGATACTACTTCACAATGTTTTTCTTCTATTTCCTTCGAAATATTCCAGCGGTAGGTAGAAACGTATTTGATGAAATAGTGCGCAAGTATGAGCTGTGACGCATTATGGTAATTAGGTCATTAAAACATTACTAAACGGAGTAAACACAATGCAAGCAAAGTTAAACTATCATGGTCAAAACCGCAGTGACCTTGAACAACCAATCAGAAGTCACATAATCGTTGAAAAATTCACTAAAAAAATAATACAAACTTGATATTTCACTGTATAGTTGTAATTTGTGTCTTGTAAGAATGTCTTCCAGTCAATACGCAGATGATCTATAGGGAAATTATACCGCGCGCGACATGTACATCCATACAGGTGACTGTAGATCATCGCACTTTGAGGTCTATTGATATTTCTGACACTATTGTCCAATCTGCTCCTAAACTTAACTTTAACTCTAAACCTTAATCTTAAAATACGTAACCCCACCTAACAGTATAAATTTGCAGAAAAAAGTACCTAGTGAATAAGCGGAATCCTGGATCTATTCTCTCCAAGTCCAAAAAAGGCATGATTTGATATGGAATGACATTTCATAGCATTCCCTGCGTCTGATCGGTTCTTGAAAGTCAACTTTAGAAAGATCTTGACTTTGCCTATGATGATACTTTAACTTCACCACGATGCATTTTGATGAATAGAAAATTTAGGCAGGAGGTAAATTGTCGCACTAATGTGTAAAAAAGCTGTAAAAATTCCATCCTGCTCGGAATAAAGTTGTAACAATAGAAGACAAGGGCCAGGAAACACATATTTATAGATTTTCATGTACATAAAACAGATTATTGTTAGCAGAAAAACACAATCTTGTGGTTGGTTGTCTCTCACAGAAAGTTAACCTTGCATCGCTTTGTGACTGTTTCTTGGATGTCAGACCATCTATATGTTAACTGTATTCACCTACGCAACGTCTTTGTTCTCATTTTTCTCACAACCAATATTGGGGACATAAACATTGACGTAAATCACTGTCCACCAATTTTGACTAACAGCCAGCTTTCACCACAAAGTGACTGTTTCTTCTGTTTATGCCTTCATTTAAACAATATTAAAAGGCTAGAGTATTTCAACTCTCACCCCCAATAACTTTGAAATTCACTAAACAAATATACCTACATATATGCATACATTCATTGCTTTTTACTTTTACCCCTCCCTTTCATTTCTCTTTAGGTATTAATCATATTAAGGGCAAAAATCAAAAATCAAGTTTACGAAAACAGCCATTATTATCATCCTCAGCAACACCATCCGCGAACTCGAATCAAAAAACCTCAATCCTAGTAACAACTAAGGATCCATTGATGTCAAGTGGTGAACAGCATAATTCTGATTACGTATTATTATGAATAAAAACCAGTGTAAATATATCTATATACATAGTCTATACATAGTGTATAACATTTTGCTGGCATTAATGTTGTCACTTTTGTGTTAACCCACTCACTTCATACAACATCCCGTTGACTCTGTGCATTTCATATATATATATATATATATATATATATCTTAGCATTTTACAACAGATTGTTTGCTATCATAAAATTCTATGAAACATTATAATTGATGGCTTATACAAGTAGATATGCATTCACAAAAATCAACAATCTTCATTGTGTTCTATTTTCATTTTGATTTTGTCTTTGTTTTTTTCAATAATCTTTTTTTTTCGTCTTTGTCAATTGATCATGATGATGATGATATCAAATGCTGCCTATATATTTTTAATTTTCACAAGTTGATTGATCATGTCAACATGTTTTAATGGGATTATTTTTCAGATTTTTATGAATAAAAAACACATACATGTCTCATACTCTACTACCACTATTAGTACTATATATTTCTTCTACTCTAAAATAAGTTTATTTCTCGCATTCTACAAAAGTTAATTCACAGTTAGCTCTTCTTATTTGTCAACTGAAGAGTTTTCATGCTGAGGGAATTGTTGACAAACAGTCAAACTACTACTACTTGACAAAGAATAAATAGTATGAGGAAAGATGATGAATGCATATTGCAAACTGTACAAAATTTGTCATATTTCACATTACATCTCATATGGAAATGATGTTTAAAAAAACAAAAAAATTAAGAACTTTTAAACAAATGTCAGTTGGTAGATGGTTGGAGGTAATTGATAAGTAGCCTTACTTGCATCCTATCACCTCTAACCATCTAACTAAAAGCATTTTACAGTGTAGTATGATGGCCAAACCAAGTGGCACCTAGCATGGTTGCTGTGGTGGTCACATTGAATTCAGTTTACAGCCCAAAGGACGCATGACTGACTATCTAGTGTCCAAATAAATGTCAGTAATTGTGAAAGTCACAAAAAACTAAAGCAGAACAATGAATATAAAGTGAATAGACACAAAAATAAATTAGATGTTGGTATAAGAATGCAGTAACAAAAGTGATGAGTTGTCACAAACGATTGTTAAGGAAGAGTTACACGATAACATGAATAGTTTGATGAAAAAGTTGTACTCAGGGTGTACATGAAAACAAAATAACATATGGAATTACGTAAGAGTTTCAAGTGGTTAGAAACATATATCTCTCAAGATGATAATAAAGTTAGGTTTAGTCTACAAAACTGAAATCCATCGCTTTTCACCTACAGACAATAAATATTTGCAATTTAGTAGTGTTCTCTGAGCTGGTTGGTTTAGTTGTGGAGCTTCCGTCGTCCTTCTGAGCAGCATCTTCAGCGCAATATTTAGCATAAACTGAAATAATTTAAATTTCTTCATGAGTGATATAATTGCGTCTCCCGATAACCATCTTTACTTATCTATTGACCATTTTCTATTGACTTGGATTTTAAACTTTCCGGTCACCTGATTTACTTTTTGTTAGTTAGTATATTTGGTCTGTATTATCGTGCTTGTTAACTGCATATTCGTTTGAGTACCAGGCTTCTAGGAATTCCCTGACTGCAATTTTGGTGTTTCCTTTGTCTAAGATTTCGACATTATCCCAATCAAACTGGTGTCCATAACTGTCTATATGCATTGATATGAAAGAATATATATTGTGTCTTTTCACAGCTGACTTGTGTTCCTGGATTCTGATTTGAAGGGGACGCCCACTTTGGTCGATGTAATGCCTGTTACAGTTCATGCAATTTATTTTGTAAATGGTATTAATTTTATCTCCTTTTTCTTTTGTTCTGATCTTTCGGTTTGCATAATATCGAATTAAACGATTTGATTGGCTTGTGTGTTATATCTATATCAAACGGTTTCAGTATTCTAGCTGTTATTTCAGAGATATTTCTCATGTATGGTAGGATGAATTTTCTTGTGGTCTTTGATGGTGGTTCCTTGTTGGTGTTGTGATTCGATTTTAAACACTTTTTGATGAAATTTTGTGGATAACCATTCTTTTTGAAGACCGTTTGGAGGTCATTTTCTTCCATTATTTTCAACTCTGGAGTGCTACAGTGTGTTTGAACTCTTTTAAATAATGTCTGCACATAGTTTCGTTTGTGAGTAATTGGATTATTGCTAGTATAGTTGAGTATTTGATCTGTGTGCGTTGATTTTCTATATACTTGTGTTTCTAAATTTCCTGTGTTGGTTCTCCTGATTAAGACATCTAAAAATGGGATTTCGTTATCTAAATCTTCTTCTCTTGTGAATTTCATGTCTAAATATATATTTCCCAAGTTCAACCACAGCCTAGACAAATGGCCTAGTTCTACCTTCATAGTTTAGATTAAGTGGAAAGATTATGGTTTTGTGTCATCTTTGCAACTTATTTGCTATCGTGGAACCGAAAAATCCTTTAAATAACATTATACTTTGGTGATTGACGCAGATGAAACACAATATGCTCAACATGAACTTCTTCATATCGAATGATACACGGCTAATCTACCTACAACGACCACTAGTTGAGAGTTACTGAGCGAATTGCCTATATGTATCGAAAACTTCAACTGGAAAAGTATATCAACATTGTCGAACAGGTTGTTCAAGTCTTTCTTTATCAAGGAAAAAAATCTCCACTTGGTACTCGCCAATAACCACATCATCTTTCTTACAGGTTTGTTTTCCAGCTGTCCATCAAAAGGTACACACAGCACATCAGTTCCTTCTGCAATATACTTGAAGACTGTGAGATATAGCTTCTTTAAACAAAACTATAAAGAAGTTAAAAAGAATTTGACTACGAGTGCTTTGTTCAATCGTTTACGTTACATACAGCGAAATCATAATAACAGGGTTAGGTGTAATGCTATCCAAGAAGGAAAAGTTAATCAATGCGGTTGTAAAACTTCACCGACTGAGTTGACTAGAGCGCGTGCTACGCGTATGGGACTGCAGTCTTCCCCAGTAAGTGATATAAAATGAAGCAGGATTAGATTGTTAAACAGTTAGATGTGAACAGATCAAAACATGTCATTAAACCATCCTTTACAAGTTTTTCATTTCCCAATGAACGATGAACAGGAAGATGCTGGTTTGACTCTTGTTTCGCTACTTAATACTAATAACTTTATCAAACTAAACTCAGCTCATATATGGTAACGCAGTAATAGTTCTTCTCTACATAAAACAATTTTGTGTTGTCGGGTGAGTGAATTCATGACGGTAACAAAAATGTGCAAACTGTCAAAATCGAGGCGTGAAAGCACCATATGTTGTTCGTACGGTGAAAAAAATTGCTTATTACATTTGGTTCGACTACATCAGTTCGTGAGGCAGGTTTGTAGGCGAATTGTACTTTAATGTGTTATTCCTATTTAGATAATTCCGATTTGATTTTATCTGACATCCTTCGGCTATGAGATGTTCTTCGTTATCTCCGAAGGCTTTCAATATTTATCAAAGTGAATCTTGTGACCTGATTTTGTGACGTGTAGGATTTCTCACTATTTAGTAGCTTCATTGAGATACTTGGCGGTCAAGTAAAATCGAGCAGAGTATGTGAAGACTTCTCTATTTTTCTGCAAACAACGTCTTTCTTCTACTGTAGCCCTACACTCAATGGTCATAAAAGTTGAATTCTTAGTATGAAAAAAACGCTGAAGATGTCATCAATCCTGGTGATAAAACGTCTACAGTCAGATACCAAAGCCCGGAAAATATAAAACAATCCCCTAACCCATCATCGACCTGAGTTACAAATCTTACCTATTATTTTAAAGTATAATCACAGTTTTGAACGCAAACTACTGGACAGTGTAGTACAAAAACCACACAAAGTTGCTGATCGTCACCTCATTATACAAACATATACACTACAAAAATTTTTAAAAATTATATTTGTAAAATCTCAGCGAAATTGAAATGAGTAATTCCAACGTTTTATTCGGCAAACTAGTCCGAACTTCTTCAGGGAAATTTATCGAAATTAACATAACAGGAGGTTTGATGATATTAGATGGTTGGAGGTAATCGGCAGGAAGCCTTGCACCTAGGTTTCGTGCTAGTTGGCACTCACCAGTCAGCATAGTGTATCTGCAACCTTGAAGGAACTCATGTCCCTTCTGTGGTTCGAACCCGCGTCACCCAGTGAGTACTGCAGTCAGAGACGTTACCATTGAGCTATTCGGGCTCGCCATTTACCTCCTGTAGGACTGTAGTGGATAGTTTGATTGGACACTAGGAACTAGTATTATGCGTCTAGTCCTTTATTTGGTGCAGACTAAATTCTATCAGTCAGGTTTGCAAGAGGTTTAAAACAAGAGATGTCCTTTTTCGTGTGTAAACCTCTGTTACGTTAATTTCACTTAATTTCCCTAAAGAAGTTCCGACCAGTTTGCCAAACGAAACGTTGGAATTACTTATTTCAATTTCTCTGGGATTTTACAAATGTCTACTTCTCACTTGTTTTGGAACTATTCCGTCAATTCTTGATCACAGTTTATATGAAGTACACAAACTTGTCAACAAAAGGTTTCATGAAAAGTTTGATTGCAATTTGTCAATCAGAATCTTTCACATTAAATAGTTATTACTACTGTTCTAATCCTACGAAACACTAAACCAAAAAAAACTCCACGTTGAAATTTGCAGTTCCTTAGTACTACTACAACCAAATTTCCCAGACAAAGAACAACAAACACTTAATGATGACAGCTTTTTTGAAACATGAAAAAGACAATCAATAAAATAGAACAAACGATAAACTTTTGAAAATTTAAAAAAAAAGAAATAAATAAAATAATAAATATGAACTAAATAAAACATGAATTAGAATCATGTGTGTATGCAAGAAAGGTGAACGTACAGAGAAACCGTTTTTTTATATTGATAAAGTCAACAGGCGTGTGCATCTGTGTGTATGTGTGTCTACTTTCTTTTTCACTACTTCCCATAAAAATAGATCCAATGTAAGAAAAAATATTTTAAAAAAAACAGTTTGTCTTATAATTCTGGATACCTATCTCTGTTTATCTGTGAAAGAGAGTCAATGGTAATCAATCACTTGGAAACGGCATAAGAGATCACAGTATTTTCAATATATATATATATATATATATATATATCACAGCCTTAACATTTGTTACCGATATGGTAAATGGGGTAAAAACAAAAAGAAGGGTGAAATTCTGTAACATAACAAAATGTTCAAAATAAGAATAATAATAATAATACAAAAAAGTAAAGTGTACATGTGTATGTGGAATGTGGGATTTCAGCATTTGAGTGAAAAGAAGAGAGTCATGGAGTTTGCATTTTATCTAAAGGAATATTGCATACAATCATTCAATCAATCAATACACAACACTATTATTATTATCATTATTATTAAGAGCAACAACCACTTTGAGGTTGTTTATCATACGATTGAGTTAAATGAGCACGATTTGTAGCCGAGGACAGAGCACGTTTTTTCCCTTGACTCCATAATTCTGAATGATTGTATATTTTTGTTACAACTTCATTAAACAGCTGGGCAACACCTTCATTAGTTTTTGCACTTGTTTCAGCATAAGGCATATTGTATAGACGAGCATAACGAAGACCTTCATCACGTGGAATTTCTCGAGGAATCTAGAATGCAAATCAAGAGGTAGTAATAATTTGGTATTATTTAAAATTTATTGTACTACAATCGATACAAATCTCCGCAAAAATAGAATCCACTTTGTAACCGTTTTTTTACAGTTACTCTGATAAAAACATTTGTTTCAAGTTTAATCACGGATTGATACCAGTTAGAGAACCATTCAAAACCAGGAAGTATTGGACAGCTCTTTCGTCCTAGTTTGGGACTCATCGACAGACAGCACACGGCCACCCATTTTCAGTTCCAGGACCTTCCGGTTACAAGGCAGACTTATAGACCATCCAGCAAGCCACTGGACTTGGGAGGGATTCTCAATGAGGCTGAAATTAGGGTGGCATTTAAATCAACCAACCAACTCTCTCAGAGATAAACTTTGTTTGCCTACAGACACAATAGATCCAATTAGGCAAAAATAATGGAGTCTACCAAATACCATGTAATGACTGCAAGGTTAATTACATAGGTCAAACTAGTAGATCAAGGTAAATAAGATTATATTATGACATGAAAATTTACCTAGACCTAGAACAATTGACCCTACTAAGTTATGAAGCCTAGGAAAAAGCTCAGCCACTGCACTGCATTCACTCGCATGTAATCACACAGCAATAGTTTGGGACAGGGTGAGAGTATTAACAAGTAATATAGCTAGTTGGAGAGAGAGAGGTTAATCACTGAAGCTTTGTTCATCGATTGAACACCGCATATGTGCAATCGGAATGACGCAACGCTTATACCGGAGATATAGAAAGTGGCAACAAATAACAAAGGGAGGTTGGAGACAGAAAGAGAGGAAATATATATGTAAGACAAATTGTGAAACTGCGAAACTAAAATTGATATGAATATGAGTAATAATTTATGAGATCGTGGAAAATACCTGTCAGAACATTAGAAAGAAGAGAACACGAAGTTCATCAAAGATATCTTTTCGGCGACTTCATTTTCAAAAGCTGTACAATCGCATTTACACACAGTAATTTACATAGATACAATTATTATTTAATTCGCTACAGGATTTCATCATGAGCTGACATTGGTTAGAGAACCATTGGAAAACCTGGAAATACTGGACAGTTGTTTCGTCCCAGTTTGGGGCTCTTCATCAGTACGCACCCACCATTACGGCTCGAACCCAGGACCTTCTGGTTACAAAACGAGCTCGTAGACCATTGAACCACTGGGACTCAATCCAATGGCCCATGAATTCTAGCTTCTGCCAATTCATGACATAGCGCGACCACTTCGCAATATCTTCTTTGATGAGTTACTGCCTAACACCTTCAACCTGGGGTTCTAGTAGGAAGCTGTGATCAATAGAATTCTTGTGCCATTGGATCGGGTCCCAGTGGCTTAATTTTCCACGAGATAGGTTGCCTTGTAACCAGGAGGCAGTGGGTTCGAACCCCTGTGGTGGGTGCATACTGATGAAGAGTCCAAAAATAGAATGAAACAGATTTCCTGTACTCCAGGGTTTTCCAAAAGTTCTCTAACTGATGGCAGCTCATGATAAAATCGTCCAACCAATAATTGTATCTATGTAAAAGTTTATGTATTCAAATGCGATTGTACAACTTTTGAAAATAAAATCGCCGAAGAGATATCTTTGCTGAACTTCATGTTCTTTTCTTCCCAATAATTTATGCTCGAAACGTCATCAAGTTGTTGTTAATACTGCATCGTTGTGTGATACTTAAAAATAAACTTCTCTAACATGGACATAAGACACGCATATCACGGTTAACTTTCGTCAAAAACACAAAGCAAATAGGATGCTCACTGACTGAAGCGGGAATATCTTAGTTACCGAATTTCAGTACAATCATTTTGACATGTCTGCATTAAAAAGTCAATAATCATTCATTCTACAATTTAGCCGGGAATCTCTTTAGCTTATAAAATCAATTCAAAAACAAACAGAATCTCATCAGAATAAACGAGTGAAAAATATTCAACCGACAAGTTATTAGGTAATCGTTGTCACGTAAGTCCTTCCACGCTAACTGACACAACTTTCATCTGCATTCCTCTGAGTAGAAAAGCTAACAAGAAAGTAAAATTTCATAAAATAACTAATCTCTACAACTACTATTGTGGTGAGAGCTGGCTGCAAGCCAGGGTCATGAGAAAAACAATGATATAGCTTAGCCTTGAGAAAATCCCCAACCAATCACAGCAAACAGGACTCTCAGAAATAAGGCTTAACCATCTGAGAAACGTCCTAAGCAGCACAGAATAAGCTTCATCAATAAAACAACCAATCAGAAGACGTTGCTGCTCCACTGACAATAATGTACATAAAAATCTATAAATATCTGTTGATTTTCTCAATAAACGATCTGTTGCCTGGCCCTTGTCTTCTGTCGTTACATTTGGTGTCGCTACCTATTGGGAATATGTAATAAATAATAATTTCAGAATTCTGTTTTACTCTCTCATTTTTCTAATTAAATAGACACCAACAGGACCACACAGATCATGGATGCAAGTTAGTGTTAGGAGGGACAAGCTTTTTTGTTAGCCATGAAGTCATGATTTATGGATGCACTGAAATGATAATGTGACTGGACAATTTTTGATTCGTTTATTGATGGCTTAACTTTCTGACAGGTTGCGATGTCATGCACAACCAATTAGATTTATTTATGTATTTATGGTTTATAATTCTGAGGTTTTGTGTCAATAGGATATATTGTGAATTTTAGTGTAATAAACGTTGTCGTGGTTTCTTGGTGTCGGTCTTCATCGTTTTTCCCTGTCTGACGTTTGTGTGTTTATCTCAGTGTGGGGATTATTTTCAAATACCCCCTTGGTTATGGTGTCGTGTTTGGAGGTGGATTTTAGTCAAGTGAGACAACGCCACAAATCACTAACACTACATTATAACACTTAGACGACCAAGTAAGTTTATATAGCCACACTACGATTCGATCCCTATTTACAAGTTATGCACTACACTACTAAACCGTCATTTCCACTTACTTTACGCAGGTTAGTGATACTTTAGGCTTTCCTCCCTATTTCCAAACAATTTCAACTGTTTTCGCCTACATACACACACACACATATATATACAAACCGGTAGTCTGCTTCCTTCTTTAAAAAATAAAAGCCCTATTTTCAAGCAAACATTTTTCATTTCGATATTTTTATGGCACAATTATTAACAAGCTTCAATAAATTCAACAATTATATATATGCATACATGACAAACAAAAAAAAAAGAATTCATGTATGTCATATTGATTATTGCTAAAAGTAAAATAAATCACATGACTATCCGTGTATAGTAATATTATTGAACAACTTACGCTATCGATTTTATTTCCAACAAGGAGTTTTATCATATTTGGGTTGTCTGCATAAGTTGTCAACTCTTCCATCCAACTGCCAAGATGCTCAAAACTCTCACGATTCGATACATCGTATACTGAAATATACATATGTATAAAAAGAAACAAAGTATAAGGAATGGATGTGAAGAACCCAATAATTGGCAAAACAAATCAATGATATAAAAATACCGTTTTGACCACTTGGACTCACGATAGCTGTGCAACTATACATTGTTTGTTTTACAAGTTGGTATGGTTACAACTATGCGACTTGAAGGACAAACTGACACATGGAGAAGTTGTGTAGCTAAGGTGGATGATTTTGATGCAGTTGTGATCTCTGAGCTGGATGGTTTATTTGCGAAGCTTTCATTGCCCCCTCTCTATCAGCCAACATCTTCAGCGCATACTTCAATTTGATGAAGTGAACTTTTAGATTTCTCCACGAGTTTATAAGTCATCTTTCAAAACAACCAATCACGTTCAGGGTCCCCACCACCAGGAGAGGTGATAGAGTAGAGCGATGAGAGCCCCGCAAATAAACCATCCAGCTCAGAGATCACAACTACATCAAAATATAGGTCATTCTATGCTCATCTTGGCGAAACGAGTTACAGAACACTAAATCAGCATGGTTGCAGAGAAGAGACAGAGGTTCAATTAGAATCGCTATAATCTAGCACCCCGTTACCACCTGTCATTACTGTATCTTAACTATAACAGTCATTTAGAAAGCAATAAGAAACCTATTGAGGATAGTGTGCTTCTCCGTCTTCTTCGCTCCGCTCAAATCCCCGCTACACTTACGGAGAAGCTGGAGCTTCTTCTTTAGAGCGAGCTTGTTCAACCCTTGCGACTACACCTTGAACCTGGTTTTTCCTTGCTTCTTTATAATTTTGTGTTTTAATACTCTCCTTTACTTCTTTCCTAGATCCACTGACAAAAATATTACTTTAATCTGTTTCTATGAATGTCACAATTACACGTTGTCGAAAAAAATTCTTTTATGCATACAAGACAACAATATTTCTAATCTTATATTATTTTAGTCTCCTTGTCTCTAGCATTAATCCCTCTCCACTTAATCTCAACTTCATCACTATGTTTAATCAAACAATAATCGAAATTATGGTAACTTTTGGAACGAAAAATATACATTAACACAGGGATCATACAACTATTGAGAATAAAATCACCGAAAAGATATCTCTGCTGAATGTCTGTTTGCTATCTAATATCCTGATGGGTATTATTTTTCTCTAGGGCTTTCTTTTGGTGTATAAATATTCCATCAGGGTTTGAGGAGCACAGTTACCGCTAGAGTAGGTGAGCATTGCTGAAGAGTCTCAAGCTAGGAAGAAACAACTGTCCAGTACCCTCTTATTTTCAATGATTCTATAACTCATGTTGGTTCATGACGAAATCTAAACTGAAATTACTGCAAGTCCCGTTTATTGGAGGGGGTAGTGGATGAAGTTGTAGTGGGGAGATGTGGCCAGTGGGATCCACCATGTCAAGATAGCTCGTCGATAGCATTCTGTTTGTGTGTCTGTTTTCGACATAAAACTCTGCACCGATGTGCGGGAGTTCAATTCGCCGCACTCTCTCCTTGTAGCACACAAAGCAACAGAAGAAAGTAGAAGAAATGCATAATAGAGGTGTGAGACAAAGGAATGGTAATAACGAAGAACAAAACTGTTTCACTGGAAATCATAAGTTACAAGGAGTGGATGCATCTGCGCCAGCCATTGAGAACGATTTTAAGCTAAATCACCAATAGTTTCCAGCTATTGGTTTTCATCGTCCCGAGGACCCCAACCAGTCAGGAAGTCTACACCTTCCTACGTGGCTTAAACTAACTGTTGTAGATTTCATTGACGTGCCATGTTTTGGTTTGACCTCCGCTAGCTCTTTTCCAGCCTGACCCATCCTATGTCAGCTAACATTGCCCGTAGGTCGAGGAAGGCGATGACTAGGCTAGGCATGCGTAACACATGTCCTAACCATCTCAGTCAATAGCATTGGTTGGCGGTAGCGCCATGTCACGAAGTGAAAGAGGCTAGAATCCACAGGCCACTGAATTCCGCTTCATCGAGTCGCCGAATGGTCAGCAAGTTTGGCCTCGTAACTTGAAAATGCTTGGATTCGACGCTTGATGGGGTCCTGAGCGCGCACTGCTAAAGAATCCCGAAAACTAGGAGGAAACAGATCTCCACTACTCTCTGGTTTTCGATAATTTCTCTAAGTGATGTTGCTTCATGACAAAATTGAAATTGAAGTTAATCCAGAACCGTACAAAAACCTACAATCTACAGATATTTATTTGACTACTTAGTCGGCTTAGTATGCTGGCACCATATAGGAAGTTGTGCAGAATTACGTGACTGCACAATAGATACATTACAGTTTGATAAGAAAAAATATTGATGAAAGCTGTTATTCGTTAAGATAACAAAATAAACACAAATGAATACGTCTCTCCTATCGCATATGTGTTAATGAAACAGGGTCAACCAGTTTAATTTAATTTAACTACCGAAACATCTATTTAAAAATATCTACGTTTAGCATTCGAAGCAATTATTTTCACTAATTCTAAAGACCTACTTACTTAAAACACACACGTGTATATACCACCTTAGGATATAGTATCTACTTTGAATGACATTTATAAGTATGAAAATAAGAATTTCTGATTGACTGAGAAATTAACATTATCTCTAAATTTACTGACTCAATAGATTCATACGGCATAGAGATGATACTCTGACATGCATACACACACACTTAATATAAAGACTGAGATAAGTAGTTAATGAATTCACCATATTTTTTTTCAAGCATAAAGGACAAAGCCGAGACACAAATCAACACTAGCGAAGAGGTCGGCGTTGAAAAGCACTGGAACAACTTGAAAACGGTGTGGAGCCAAACCTGCATAGAAATTCTAGGCAGAAAAAAGAGACAGGACAAACAGTGGCTCACTACGGACACTTGGAAACTAATAGAAGAGAGAAGGACAGTGAAGCAAAAGATTATCCAGTGCACCGACGAGCAACAAAAACAGGAGCTGAATGCAAGCTACAATACACTGAACAAAAGAGTGAAGAAAAGTGCCAGGGAAGACAAAAGAAAATATTATGAAACCATGGCAAACGAAGCAGAACAAGCTGCAGGCAAAGGAGACCTCGCCACACTCTACCAAACAACTAGGAACCTTTCGGGCAAACGTTCGACACAGATTAAGCCAATAAAGGACGACAATGGAAAGTCAATCACCAAAGAGGTGGAACAGAGAAAGCACTGGGTTGAACACTTCAAAAGACTTCTAAATCGTCCGCCACCTACAACACGTCCAGCAATACCAACAACGGAAGCAGAACTACCAGTGAACACTGACCCCCCGACGAAATCAGAAGTCCTGAATGCAATCAAGATGCTTAAAACTGGGAAAACACCGGGACCAGATGGAATCCCAGCAGAGGCTTTGAAAATAGACCCAGAGACAACAGCGGACTTGATGACACCACTACTGGAGAAGGTGTGGAAAGAGGGCAAAGTACCCGAGGATTGGAAGAACAGTTACTTATTCAAACTTCCAAAGAAAGGAGACTTAAGTCAATGTAAAAACTGGCGGGGAATTATGCTTCTGTCCATTCCAAGCAAGATACTAAGTCGCATCATCCTGGAGAGAATCAAACAAGCCCTAGATGAAAAACTTCGTCCGGAACAGGCTGGATTCAGGAGAAACAAATCATGTATTGATCAAATCGCCACTCTACGGATCATCATTGAACAAAGCTTGGAATGGCAGTCACCTCTCTATCTCAACTTCATCGACTTTGAAAAGGCCTTCGACAGCGTCGATCGAGAGGTCATTTGGAAACTACTTCGCTACTACGGGGTCCCATCGACAATTATACACCTCATCCAACAGTTATACGACAATGCTGCATGCCAAGTAATCCACAACGGGAAACTTACGGAAGCCTTCGAAGTGAGGACGGGAGTGAGGCAAGGCTGTCTACTATCACCAATGATCTTCCTGATTGCAATTGATTGGATAATGCGACAGACAACGGCAACCAACGAGGGAACAGGCATAAAATGGACTGACACAAAAGACTTGGAGGATCTGGATTTCGCCGATGATATATGTCTGATTTCCCATAAACTGGAAGATATGCAAATGAAAAGTAACAAGTTGGCAGAAGAAGCATCAAAGATAGGACTTCACGTGAACATAGATAAAACAGAGATGATGAAGATTCCTTGCCAACATCAACAGCAACAACAGACCACAATAAGCATAAATGGGAAGAACCTGAAAGAAACAACCTCCTTCACCTACCTGGGAAGCATCGTCTCAACTACAGGCGGAACTGACGAGGACATCAAAGCCAGAATCGGAAAAGCAAGACAAGCTTTCATTACTCTCAAATCTGTGTGGAGGTCAACAGCATTCAGCATCAAAAATAAGATCCGGATTTTCAACTCCAATGTGAAGTCAGTGCTACTATACGGATCAGAGACTTGGCGAGTCATAAAGAGCATCTCAAACAAACTTCAAACCTTCATTAACAACTGTCTCCGCTCAATACTCAAGATCAGATGGCCAGAAAAGATCAGCAACAGGGATCTCTGGGAGCGAACCAATCAGGAACCGATTGTGAAACAAATAGGCAGAAAGAAATGGAGATGGATTGGCCATACGCTGAGGAAACCATCAAGTGACATCACTAGACAAGCCCTCGAGTGGAACCCGAAAGGGAGGCGGCGAGTTGGTCGTCCAAGGGTGACTTGGAGGAGGTCATGTGAAGAGGAGATGAAAGCATGTGGGCAGACCTGGAGCAGGGTGAAAAAGTTGTCAAAAAACCGAAGTCAATGGAGGTGCGCAGCTGAAGCCCTATGTTCCTCTAGGAACTAAAGGATACAATAATAAATAATAATAATATTTTTTTTATTTCCTTCACGTCCCCAGTGGAACATAGGGTTTCAAGCTAGTGGCTTGAAGTTTCTGTAGCAGTGTTTATTATTTTACAGGATGAGGTTGCTAGCCTCAAGCCCAACCTTTCCTCTTTACCAACCAGCTTTA